CAGGGGTCCCCCCCATGGTCCCCTCTGCCCTCCTCTCCCTATTGCCTCTGGTACTTACCAGCTCCGAGTTCAGCTGCAGCTCCCTGCTGCAGCCACCGGGGACTGCCCGAATTATCAAAGCTGTCCGAATCTTTGGAAAAGATTCGGAGAGCTGTGAATTGATTCAAACCTTTAAATTGGTCCCCTGATTCAATTTGGATTCAGAGATTCAGCTATCATATCGGGCCAAATCTCCTCCGAATTAAATCACCACCTGAAGCTTTGCACAGCCCTACCAATTGGGGCCAAGAGGACATGCTTTGACAGTTAAAAGTAGGCCACCACAAGGAGCACATCTTCTGGGTGATAGCTTCCCAGATGGCAGAGCCGGGGCACCCCATCTCGGTCTGGCAGGGGTGCAGCCTTAGTCTAAGGGGGTGTATTCTGTTGCAGGTGGCAGCAGGTCACAGCCAGGCAGCAGCCCCCACTGCTAGACTGCTGCAGTGGGTAGAAAGTGCAGGGGCACTCCATGTTAGGGCTGCTTCAGCAGTCCATCTGGCACAAGAGGTAGTGTCCCCAAATACCAAGTGGCTGGGCCTCAGAAGCTCCTGAGGGTAAATAGCCCTGAGCTGCTCACCAGGGCAGGTTTTTATACTGCTGGGGCCAGCACCTGGGGACCAGCCTCTAGCTCCTCCGGCTGCAGATCCGGGAGGAGCTGGACAGGGTCATTTTGCCCCAAGTGGTACAACTTGCCCCACACCAAAGTGCATGTCCAGGCACGTGCGCTGAGGCAAAAATCCCCAGCACAAATCGTGCCACCCCTATTTGAGCTGCTGCAAGGGCCAAGGACACATGCTGCATGTGTGGATGTGTCCAGATAGTCTATGTTTAGAATTTGAGAGTGACAGGGAGTTGGCTACATCTGAGTCTGGAGTTATAATGGCTGTTGCACTAATGTACATTAAAGCAACTTATATCCTGTTCTAACTTTTGGCAGTCATGTATGATCCCACTAGCTGGCATTCTGCTGAACTGATCTGTGCTCCTTCCTTTAACCAAACTTCTCCTTGGGTGCATCTACATGTACGCATTACTGCAGAGCAGACTAATTAGCTCTGCAGTATAGCATCACAATCTACATGTGTGCCAGTATTAAATTAATTAACTCCACTGTAAGATTGTACTGTTGGGGATGGTGCTGTTTTATGGCGGAGTCATTAAGTGTGATTAAACATACATGTAGACAGTGACCACTGGGCATAAATTGCACCCAGTCAGCCCAGCCAGCTGAGGGCCAGACCCCTGCCTTCTGCCAGCCCCTCCGCTACCTGACCCTGCCACCTGGAGCCCAGGGCTGACTCTCTATGTCCGCTGCCAGCCCGGGGCTGCTCCACCTCAGATCAAGTTGCTGTGGTTCTTGGTGCACGTGTAGATTCTGTGCCCAGAGGCAGCTGACTCCAGCTCAAACGTGCTCCGGAGTTTATTATGTCATGTTAATTTCACAGGTAGATGCAGCCCCTGTGTACTGTATATTCTGAGAGTAAAACACAATTAGTTCAAGAGCTGGGGCGGGTGGTTACCTGGTTTAGAGTTCAGTCTCCTTTGCAGCAGCCAGGACTGGAAGAGAAAATTCTGCTACAAAAGAGTACAAAAGAACTAAATAGGTATTGAAATAAATTTATAAAATAAACTTAATACTAAGGGCTACCAATACCAGAATGGCAGGCAATACACAAAACCAAAAGGAAGTGCAAGAAATATGATGAATTGGAACTTTAGGGGCATATTATAAAAACAAAACAAAACAAAAGCCTGAGACAAGGCTAAAGAAGTCCAACAAGATAAACTATACCTTAGAAGCAGTTAACAATGCCTCTGGTTTAATACCAAAGCGATGGTATTATAATCTTTAAGTAAAAGAAGCCAAAAAAAGAAAATTAAACAAGCTAAAAATTGGAGCTCTCTATCTGAGTCTCCCTTTAGTTCTGACTAGCCATGTATTTTCTTTTTTCCAAACAGATACGAGGAGGAAAACTAATGATCTCAAACACGAGAAAGAGTGATGCGGGCACTTACATTTGTGTTGGAACAAACATGGTGGGCGAACGAGACAGCGATCCAGCAGAGCTCACTGTCTTTGGTAAAACTTCTTAGGCTTTCATTTTCTTTTTTTACTACAAATGCAATATACTGAATTGATCTGGCTGAGCTGTCAAAGTATGTGACAAAATCAGGTTAACAAGACGCAATGTAATTGCTTATGTACAAGCTGAATTTCATAGCTTTTTGTGAGGCACAGGTCTCAACGGTTGCAATTTATAAGTAGAGAGCTGAGCAGAACCAGTATTTTTTTTTCCAAGTGCATAACTTAAATCTACTTGGAGGTCCTTGGTGAAATGCATAAACTTAGAACCCTTAATCCAACAGATAATGCTCTCCCTCACAAAATTACCAAATATAATCGAGCCACTTTTAATACAGTTGACAGTGTCTGCTTGACAGAGGCTTGGTTTTGCATTGCCTGTTTAAATAATTTCTTATTCCTTTAAGGGCTGTGAGATCAAAGCTTTTGTAGCAGAGCACAAACGAGCTGGATCAACTGGTACAAAGACTTTAGATAAACTCATGAGATCAGCTCCTTAACTATACAGATATTTTTATTCACATTCTTCTTTAAAAGGGCATCAAAATCAATTTTATTCTTTAAGCCTGAGACCTCACTTTGGTTCCTGGTACTGCTGAATGAATCAAAAGCTGATCAATTTACTGGGTGGTGGAGTTTCTAAACTTTGATGGTCACACAAGCAATTATTTTTGGTCATTTCCCACATGGGGAGAGTGTAGAGAAAAGGTACTAGAGTGAGTTTAGAGATAAATCCAACCTAGTTGCTAGTGGATAACAAGTAAGGTGGTACTTTTATCTACTATTAACAGCATTTCTGTAGGCACCAGTCAGGAAGATGAAAAAAATCAGTAATATAAATGTACACTCTCTCACCACCACCACCCCAAACTATGCCCCCACACCCCTTTTCT